TTCCAAAGCAAAGAAAAAATCCTCATAGTGTAGTAAATAGTAGTAATTTAATAAGAAAAATGCACGTATAAAAACAGCATGTCACCATAAACACAGAAAGTTAGTTTCAAACCCATAAAATGGCCGCCATGTTCCAGTGCGCGATGACGTCATACGCTTTAACATTGGACTTTCTATATTCTTTATGCTGAATTTCTTGTATCATGCCATTTTAGATATATACATAGCGCTACATTTTTAAATTTTTATGCTTTATAAATATGACCCTAATAGAAACACTGTTATAATATTATAAATATGTACTGACTAAAAATACAGTATATATTCCCTATATTGTTAATTTTACCTTTCTCTGGAAAGCGTAAAAAAAAAAAAAAGCCACCTGCCGAACATGCGGTAACTTTAATTTTCACTGCTTAGAAGAAAAGATTTTGGAATTGTTGAAGAAGCTCTAAGTAGCTCATGCTGTCAGAGTCCATTACGGATTTCCAGTGGGAAATATATAATGATATGAAGGAAAGCAGGTATCCTTTTAAACTTAATAGCATGCCTGAAAAATAACAGTTTAAACCAAAGTATTACTTTTAAACTGAATACTAGACAACATCATCTAATTTTTCTGGCTGGTTTAAAATGAAAATGACATTTAATTAAAAAACCATTCCTGGATTTAGACCTGGGGGGTAGGGGCCCAGGGCACTTCAAGTTCAGGGACCCCTCAACATACTGTAGAAATTAAAATTATATGACAAATAAAAATGAACTGAAATGAATGATAAACCACATTTATTTTATAGTTGTGCTTTATCAAGCTATAAGTTAGGTTCTGAAGAAGACAATTTTATTGACTAAGAATACACATTACAAAGGTAATTGGACCTGGCAAACCATATATCACAATTATGCATCCAATATTTCTTTGTAAAATCTTTCCCAGCATTAGGGCAAGTCCCTTTTCTTTTTTCTGAGTGGATGAAGTTGACAGGCATACAGGGGGTGGCGTGTACAGATCCAGAGGCTGAAACTTTTGAGAAACTGAAAATCACTTGTGGGAAGTGTGGTCAAAGGATTCGGGACACATAAAAAAACCACTGGTTAGGAGTTGGCTTCATTACTGCACTTGGTGCAAGACATTTAAGCTGTTCCGTATCCTGACACCAACACAAACTTTGCAAATTTTTTATAAATGAAAACGAATTTTATAGTTTTTAGTTTTTTTTATAAGGGAAGGCTCCCCCACCGGGGGGGCCTGGGGCAATTGCCCCTTTTGCCCCCTGTGATGGAAGGTAGGCAGGACAGAACTCACAAAGTAGACGGACAAAGCTTTATTGAGGCAAACAGATGACAGTCACTGAATAGGGGAGTTCGCAGGGAGTGTGAATACACCAGTAAAGGGCGGCAAGGAGGGGTCAACACACTTAAAGTCCAACACCGAGAGCCAAGGAAGAGTCTCTGTAGCAATTGTAATTCAACAGGGGGTGGTGTCAGTCTCTGTACCAACTGTAACCCAGCAAGGGGGGGGGGGGGTCAGCACAGGAACAGTTCAAGTGAAGCAGGGAGAGAGCATGTACTTACGGATCCGACAGGGTGCCTGGTCTCCCACTGGGAGTCTCTGGGTCTCTGGCAGCTTGTAGGCAACTCGCAATCTCTCCCATAGGCTGGGGGTCTCTGGATCCCTGGTGGCTAGCAGGCAGTCTTTCCTGCTCTGGGGGTCTCTGGATCCCTGGTGGCTATCAGGCAGTCTTCCCCTGTTTTGGGGGTCTCTGGATCCCTGGATGGCTAGCAGGCAGTCTTCCCCTGCTCTGGAGGTCTCTGCAGAGTCTGGCCACGAAGGTCCCGCCACAGCTGGGGCTCCTTCAGTGGCTGCACAGCGGTGAATAACCGGGAGCGCCCGGCATCAGCTTCTTATGTCGGATGCCCCCTAGTCGCCTAGGCAACTGGGGCGGGCCAGAGCTGGCGTGCCTCATTGCCCGGAAACGAAGCACACCCTCTGGGAAGGGGCCGCGCTTCTGTGAATGTGGCCTTTGTCCAGGGACATACGCAAGCGTAACTTCCCGTGCTCACGCTGTGGATGTCAGGGCTCGCGCCGCTCTGGCCTGTCGCAGGGATGCCTTTCATCTCTGCAGGAGGTGAGAGGGGCCGCGCCTGGACAGCAGGAGGGGCCTGAGGAGGGGAAGGATGAGGGAAGGCATGGACATCAGTGACAGCTGCGGGGGCCTGAGGGGAAGGATGAGGGACGGCAGGGACAGCAGCTGTGACACCCCCTTATAAATATGGCACTTTTAACAACTGTATATTTATGTGAAAGATTTGGCTCTATACTGCCCCCACACTCTAGATTCTGGGATTGCTCTGGGAATTCTGTGACTGCTGGTAGATATTTATACAGTTCTCTGTAAACCTTTAGAAAACAATTAAAATGTTTGAGTTTTGAATTTGCAACATTTTTATTAACATAATTTTTTCCAGCTATCCATATTATAGCCCATATAATTAATATAGAAAGATACCACAGAAGTCAGTCATTGGACGCTGGAGGATTATGTAACACATTGTCATATATTGGCAATCATCCTAATGAGAGCTATTTAAATCCCGTCAGAAGATATGACACGGTAAGTTTTTTTGAACTGACTTTGTATTTTCACGTTAATCAGTCTCATAGCCCTTTTTCAAAACGTGTCCATGCTAAAGTACTATGCCATCCACTTTTACAATTATTCTACCTCCAGTCATGCTGCCAATTGGACTATGGGACATTTCCAAAACACTTGCAGGGCAGCTAAAGGACTTGAACTGGAATTGCTTGGTGCTTGTCTTAAAAATACATCAACTTAAAGTGACCATTTCATTTGGACATGCAGGGCAAATTTAAAGGGTCACTGAAAGAAAAGCTAGGTAATGGAGATTTTTACATAAGTTAATGATAACATTTAGACAGGTTTTACAGAATACACCTGGTAATCAGTTTTCATGAACCACTAGCAGCAAATAATAAGCATGGTGATCATAATGTATAAGTTACTTTGGTTTGCTAAATGAACACTTACGCTTTGTAAATCATGCCCATAACATACTAATGTCTTTTTAAAAATGTTTTATTATTGTATTTTAGAATATAACAAAAGAAGCAGTTATCACATTGGCTGGAATTACTGGCTTTATAATCACGTTGGCTCTTGTGTTAATTATAACCTCATCCACAGAGACCATAAAAAGGTCATTCTATGAAGTTTTCTGGTATACACACAACCTATCCATTGTTTTCTTCATTGGACTTGTTATTCATGGTGCAGGGTAAGCATAAGAATTCTAGCACTTTCTTATATTATTACAAGATGGTGCCTGAAATGTGATAATTGATGAGCTCATAACTTTATACTGGCCTACATTATATACTTTTGAACAATGTTTAAGGTGACATGCACAAATAGAATTTGAGAGTAAAACACCTCAAGACCAACATGTTACCCCCCACCCCCATTCATTTCTTGCTGATTTTTTTTAGTTTTCAGTGCTGTGATAGTTTGACAATTACTCGGACATGCACTAGTGTTCCATATTACTTTTCTATAATTTTTTTTTTTAGACAGTTATAGCTTTCTTTTTTCTAGGGAATGTTTGAACAATTAATTTATTAAGCTAAATAGATGGAATCACAGTGTCTCCAATACAAAAATAATTTATAAAATTAAGTTAACTGGCGTAAATAATTATTTCGTAATTTTTATAGTTATTTTTGCCAAGCATTATTCTTTAAAAAAAACACGATAAGATTGATATAAGTATAGACTGAGGCTATTGAAAATTAATATATCTTACAATAATGCACTGACAAACACCATAAATAATAGTCAGATTGAGATATGCATAGACACCAAGTTATTTTGCGTAAAAGTTCTAAAATTGACTGTAACAGCAGAATACAATGCCTTGAAAAAGGATTCATGCCCCTTGCAATCAAAGACATAAATGTATTTTATTTGGATTTTATGTGACCGACTAACACAAAGTGGCACATAATTGTGAATAGGAAGGAAAATGATAAATGGTTTTCCAAATTGTTCACAAATAAATATCTGAAAACTGTGGCGTGCATTTGTATTCAGCCCCCTGTGTCAATACCTTGTAGCACCACCTTTCGCTGCAATTACAGCTGCAAATCTTTTTGGGATGTCTCTACCAGCTTTGCACATCTAGAGAGTGACATTTTTACCCATTCTTCTTTACAAAATAGCTCAAGCTCTGTCAGAATGGATGTAGAGCACCTGTGAACAGCAATTTTGAAGTCTTGCCACATATTCTCAAGTGGATTTAGATCTGGACTTTGACTGGGCCATTCTAATACATTAATATGCTTTGATCTAAACCATTCCATTGTAGTTCTGGCTGTATGTTTAGGGTCGTTGTCCTGCTGGAAGGTGAACCTCCGCCTCAGCCTCAAGTCTTTTGCAGACTCTAAAAGGTTTTCTTCTAAGATTGCCCTGTATTTGGCTCCATCCATTTTCCCATCAACTCTGACCAGCTACCCGGTCCCTGCTGAAGAAAAGCATCCCCACAACATAATGTTGCCACCACTATGTTTCAAGGTGGGGATGGTGTGTTCAGTGTGATGTGCAGTGTTAGTTTTCCACTATACATAGCAGTTTTTTGCTTTGAGGCCAAAAAGTTTGATTTTGGTCTCATTTGATCACAGCACCTTCTTTCACATGTTTGCTGTGTCCTCCACATGGCTTCTTGCAAACTGCAAACAGGACTTCTTATGGCATTTTTTAACCTCCCTGGCGGTATTCCCGAGCAGGGGCGAACTGACCATTTGGAAACTCGGGCACTGCCCAAGGGCCCGGGGTCAGTAGGGGGCCCCATGAGATGCCCCTGGTACCTTTTTCATAGGCTTTTTTGAGTTTGGGCAAGGACACAGGGGCCCCATGATCCCCTATTGCCCGGGGGCCCCATGAGTTGTCAGTCCCCCCTGTTCCCGAGTGTAGCTCGGGGTAAAGTTTCAGTACCAAAAGCGGTAACCCCGAGCTACACTCGGGCTTACCATGTGGCGTTGCTCTGGGATTCCCTGCTGCACTTACCTTGTCCTTCGCTCCAGCGATGTTTCCCCTGCAGCGTCCACGGCCATCTCCTCCGGCTGATGCCAGCATCCGGCTTTCGTGTTCTGGTCCCTGCGAGCGTCGGAACGTATGGGACGTACGAGGGCCGGAACCGGCGGCAAATTTAAACATTTTTAGAAACTGTCATTTTCTAATAAGCGAATTTGACATAGTAAAACATTACTGTATCAAACCATTTCACATGCATTTTGTCCCTACTGCTTTGTCCTGTGCCCTGACTGCATTTTGACTGTTCCATCTGCCTGGAAACTGGGAAAAGTCCATGGCGTCCAAAAAGCGTCCCTTTAGGTCAAAAGTGGTTTTAGAACAGCGATAGTAAATCAGAACCACTTGCAGAATTGAGTGATAATGATTTGTGGGGAAATTCGTTATCAGACACTGAAAATGATTTTGCTACTTTGCTCAGCGATGTGCGAACTTGGAACTATATTTCAAATTTCAGTGTTTTTGGTTTGATTATATTATTGAATTAAATTTATTATTATATTATTATTTTTGTGATTATTTATTAGTTTATAATTTATGATTTTGTGTTTCAAGTTTTATCCTACCCCGGAATGTTTACTAGACTCTTGTTCGAATAGATTTCAGTGAGTTATTCCTAAAAATTACAGGCCTACAATAAAAAAAATACATATTTCCATGCAGACCTCTAGGGAGGTTAAACAATGGCTTTCTTCTTGCCACTCTTCCATAAAGGTCAGATTTGTGGAGTGCACGACTAATAGTTGTCCTGTAGACAGATTCTCCCACCTGAGCTGTGGATCTCTGTAGCTCCTCCAGAGTTACCATGGACCTCTTGACTGCTTCTCTGAATAATGCTCTCCTTGCCTGTCCTGTCATTTTAGGTGGACAGCCATATCTTGGTAGGTACGCAGTTGTGCCATACTGAATTGAACAGTGCTCCGTGAGATGTTCAAAGCTTATGATATTTTTTTAAACTGTTAAACTGTTTTAAACCTCTCCACAACTTTATCCCTGACCTGTCTGGTGTGTTCCTTGGCCTTTATGATGCTGTTTGTTCACTAATGTTCTCTAACAAACCTCTGAGGGCTTCGCAGAACAGCTGTATTTATACTGAGATTAAATTACACACAGATGGACTCTATTTACTAGTTAGGTGACTTCTGAAGGCAATTGGTTCCACTGGATTTTAGTTAGGGGTATCAGAGTAAAGGGGGCTGAATACAAATGCACGCCACACTTTTCAGATATTTATTTGTAAAAAATTTTGAAAGCTATTTATCATTTTCCTTCCACTTCACAAGTATGTGCCACTTTGTTTTGGTCTATCACTTAAAGTCCCAATAAAATACATTTACGTTTTTTGGTTGTAACATAACAAAATGTGGAAAATTTCAAGGGGTATGAATACTTTTTTCAAGGCACTGTATATAGTGAATTAAATTCAATAATTCATTTTTCCTCATAGACAACATAACCAATGATAACTACCTATAACAGACCGTTATTCTCCTGAAGAAAGAATAAGCATCAAAATATGTAAAAGTGGGCCCCAATATTGGCCCAAGAAAAGAAAAATAACAACAAAAACAAATTTAAAAAATGACCTGACTCTAGAAGTTATACTATCATGGGAGAAAGACTAATTTACAGCAAGGATTATTGTAATTTTCCTATTCATTTAACCAAGCAAAGTCACCAGAAATTATAATAAATTACCCTTCAAGCATCAGGTAGGCTTTTAGGTGCCTGATGACCAGACCAAAAGATGGCTGCCGATTAATGGGTAGAGTTTGTCTTCCCCAAAATGGCGTTTAGCTATGCTGGAGCTTAGTATCTGATGATGTGATGATGTGATCTGTAGATGATGGGCTTCTGTTCAGATGAGGTGATATGTAGATGATATGTGTCCTTTTCAAAGATGTGTGTATGCTTCTGACTTGTTCATCATTGTTATTCAGTTGCGAACAAAACATTTAAAAAAAAAATCCCACCCAGAAGTGTTAATCTTCCTTCTCATTGGTGAAAATGGATATTATAAAATAATCTGTTACAGGACCAATTCATATTTTACTATAACAAGTTGGACTAGGTGATTCTAAAAAATATATAGAATGCCTAGGAGAGTCTGATGGTTTTCTCTTCTATGGTAGCAGCAATTAAATGGTAACTTTTAACTATAAAATTTGGAATTTCATACATGATGATTAAAATAATAGTTGTACACATACAGAGAAAAGAAGATAAAATAATAAAAACAATTTGTATACTTAAACTACTTATTGATATAGCTACTCTATAACACACATATATTTTTTAACAATCGTATTCATATTGAGAAACCTTACTTTCTAGTAATGGGATAAATTGTAATGATAAAATATTATTTTTGTATCCATCAGCATATATATACCTTGCAATATTGTTACAATTTAAAGTCATATATTTATAGATAGGTCTATGATAACTATAGTGACTTTGTCCGGTGAAAGAGTTTATAATCCATTAGCTAAGCAGGCACAGATATATATAAATATATATATTACACAGTGTCATAGGGGCTTAAAAGTGTTTACTAAACCCAGGACCCTGCATTGACTCTATCTGGTCTCTCACAATACACACTACATGGAAATTCAATTATTTTAGTAAATACAGACTGTTAAATACCTTTTCTCTTCAGCAGTATATGCAGTAGTTATAGCAGTCTTGTATCTTCTATCAGTGTTCAGCAGAGCACTAGTTAAATCTTGTAGGAGGAGTTTTCTTTCTACTCTGGGAATGCAGAACCCCTGACCTCTGTCTGGACAGTGATGTTTTGGCCCTGTTCTGATCACATGCACTCTCCCAAGAAAAAAGAAACCTCTCTAGCACACCAAACTGAGCATGTGCAGAGTGTCTCCACACGATATGTCTTATCAGAGGGGGCACTGGAAGAAGGGGAGGATCAGAGAAGTGAGGATCAAACAGCATTTTGTACACAATGCAGAGGATTAACTCCTTAGGTTCCACAGTGAGTATAACAAGCATGCTTTACTGCATATACAGACTGTTTTTACTGTTGTGGGTTTAGGAACACTTTAACCTTATGACTTGCAAAATAGAATATATGAACTGACATATTATATAACTACTCAGAGCTTGAGAAATAGTAGATTGTTACAAACAGTTCATTTCTGTGACTGGGGTTTTGTTCTGTGTTTGTCTTTCTCAAAGCTGAGACAGTGGTTAGTCACTGGATAATCAGGCTGTACATTTTTTGGTCCACAAGTAACACAATGCAGTGGACTTCCCCTTTAAACAAGGATTTATTTTTCTGGTCATCTGGTAAAATAAGGTTTGTTGGTTCTATAAGATAGCTCAGCCTCAATGTCATAAAAAAACCTTTTAAATTCTGGCTATGGTACGGCTAATACTGTATAATAAATACTGTATAATAATAGACAAGAGTAAGAGCATAGAGGGATGGAAGTGTGTGGCCACTTTAGGTAGTCATACCCACTATGTGTTTGCCTGGCTGAAATGTAACGGTAACACAAACTGCCTGCCAACCACCTGATATGCGATACTACCATGTGCTGGAACTCCATGTCAGCCATGCTCCAGACAATTGCTGTGCCAGTAGCTCCTGATTCAAGGTGCATGCAACATTGTGTTACCACTCAGAGAGTTGTCCAGAATATTGAAGTGCAATGAAGTGAGAATTTGTGATACACTTCCTGCGGTATTCCTGCTAGAACATGTACAGCATGGTGCACTAGACCAGACATTAGAGCCATAGCAGTAGGAGTAGGAGGAAGACTTTCTGCTGTCTTAGTGCTGGCAGAATTCTTTGCCTACTGCCTGAATTCTTGGGAAGCAGAGGTAGCGGGAGGCAGATTAGGAGAATTAGGGTGCTGGTGGTAAAGAGAAGGAGTGTTGGGGTGCTGGTGATAAGGATGCAGAGGAAATTTAGGGTGGCTTCAGGGGGAATGTTTCACTCCTCCCTGATCCAAGGGAAAAATCATTTGCCACCACCCAAGAAAGAGGACAAAGTGCCTTTTGCTGCATCTCCTGATGGTGGCTAGATCCACTGCCCTGTAGACATAGGTGAATCGGGAACACCAAATAGAAATATGTGACTGCCCTCCCATAAGGTAGGATTGGTTTCAAACTGGTTGCCGAAACAGTCAAAGTTTCCCTTTGGAGCACACTTCTGTTGTGCAGAAGTATGCAGCGATGTGCTGCACACAAACTACCCCTATCTTGTCCCTCTGTTTTTCATAGCTTCCTTTAAATTTATTTAATCTAGTGACTGGCGCTACCACACTGGAAGCATAGCTGCAGGGGGAAACCAAAGGGCATAGTTGGCTTTGGTTTGCTACTTGTTCCTGACAGTCAAGTCTGCCCTTTTCAGGTAACCAAAAGCAACAGATGGCACTGATCTGATGTAGTATTAGGGTAAACAATTAAAAAAAAAAAGGAAATTGGCAACTCACATGCAAAATGCAATTTTCACTATACTGGGTGGCAGGAGAGCCACAACATCCTGGAGGTGATTGAAATTATGGTACAGTCCAGATAGATACTGCATGCCTGGCGTGGAACCCTTGCAGCTGGTCCAGAAACAAGGAGCAGTCACCAAGCCTTGGAATGCACAATCTCACTGACAATCAAATGTGTTCAATTTCTATAGGTTCACAAATAGATATGGTGGTACCACAGGTGGATCTCCAGCAAGCAATCTGGGATTGTATGACGTTTATCTTATCAGCATTGCTTATTGACTAGCAAAATATCCCAGTGCTTATCCTCCCTATGTGCCATCCATTTATATATATGTTTGTAAAGCTGCCATTTTGTAGGAGAATGTCATCTATGCTAGCACTCCCTCAGAACTTCTGTCTCCTGTGTGAGGTATATAGATGACATCCTCATTTGGAAGGGGATGAGATTTTGCTCCAAGAATTTTGTAAGAAATGTAACAATAATCCAAATTTTTTTTTATACCTGACTATTTTTGTAGATAATGAGAATGTAATATTTGTACTAAAACATGCTTCAAAAGTTCCGACAGGAATGCATTTACATACCGGTCTACCTTCAACTGTTCCCAGTGGATTCACATGGGGACAATTTACTTGAATTATGAGAAACTGTAACATTTTAAAAAACATGCTTTTTAAATTACCCAGAAAGAATACTAAATTCACTTCTACAGCAAATGGAAATCAATATTAAATTCATATAATCTTGCACTACATATTTTTTCTACCTTATGCCCATTTGGGCTTCAGTATAGCAAAAGGACAATAATATCCCTAGAAACACATATGAGTAAACACGTATGAATATAAAAATAAGTCTCATGGGGTATATCTTTAAAAAAAATCTCATCG